CTTGTACCCCATGGGTCCCAGGGATTCAGCTCAAGTTGTCAGGTTTGGTGGCAGGCACCTTTACCTGCTGAGCCACCTCACTGGCCCAAAATAATTCCATTCTTGAAAAAATTATATAAAAGTACACAAAATCTCTGGCAAAATACAATCCAATAGTTATCTCTAAGGCATCAGATAAATGAATTTATTTTTCTTTTTCTTTATTATTTCTTCTCTAAATGTTATACAATGAAATTGTTTTGTATGTAAAATAAAAAATTTGAAGTGGACAACAACAAAAAGAGTCATTATTGGATTCCCAAGACCAAAATGAGGATTAAAGTCGGAATCCAAAAAACAAGTTTCACTATAAAGGCACTGAGGGGATGGGGATGTCACTCAGTGGTAGAACATGTGCCCAGGATGTTCAAGGCCTGGGTTCAATCCTTAGCAACACAAACAGAGACGCAGACAGACACAGACACAGACATACATACACATACATACACACACACACACACACACACACACACACACACACACAGCGGTAAGTGTTGAGAGGTCAGGCCTAATCACTTGCAAAGAGTCAGTTCATACTACCATTCTATTTCAAACGCATTCACTCACTCAGCAAATATTTATTAATAAGTAGTTCTTCTTAAATTTCAATAATGGGTCATTAATAGAGACACAATTAAAAAGCTAAATGCCCTGATTATAAATGTCCTGGTTGTTCTTTTCTTTTTTTCTTCCCTATATTTTTAGCACCAAAAGTGGTTCTTAAAGTGATGTCTTTGAATGACTGAAAAAAATGGGTCACTATATTAATTAAGAACAGGAGTCCTAGGGGGGACCTGTTTTAGCCCTATTTCATCAAAATGGCTAATTACTGTGTACAGTGGATCAATATCTATGCTAAGAATGTGACCCTGGATCATGGAATAAACCATTTAAGATAACTACTTACCAGCCTGGGGGCTTAGAAATCAACTGGGACAGAAACATGATTTTTGTGAGAAGAAGACATTTCTCAGATAAGGGGTACTTTTAAGATAACTGCAGCTCATGATGACTAAACCAATCTAGGGAAGCACACAGCAGAACCCGTCTCACCACTACTCTTTCAAATGATACTAGATCAACTGCTTTGTTTAGCATTTTGGTAGGAAGACGAGCGTCTCCTTGATACTGTGGACTTGGCTGAAGATCCTATAGGTATCATTTAACAGCGTCAACAACCAAAACTAGTATTGGAGGGCTTACTATGTGAACTGTTCTATTGACTTCACATATATTAAGTCAATGAATTCTTCCAATAGTCCTAGGAGAGAGGTATAAACAGTACTTGAATTACATACATGAAGCAAAAATTGAGATCAAGAGATATTAATAGTCTGCCTGAGGCCACACTGCTTACAAGCACTCTTACAAGCACAGGTCCAGGATTCTAGCTTGCTTCCACCTATTCTCTGGCCAGTGCTCTGAAATGGATGCTGTATTTCCACATGGCTTGCCTTCCTGTGTCCCAATCTCCTTCCTGAAGCTTCACTTTATACGGAATTTTAAAAATAGTAATGATTTTAGGAATTTACTTTAGTCATACAAACTGACCTCAGTTCATAATAAAAAATAAGTTACCTTCTTGTTAGCGTCATTTCAAAAAATTAATTATGACATTCTTTTTATTTGTTGAAACTGCCATTTTTCTATGGGAAAATTCTGATTCCATCTAGGTGTGCCATTGTGCTAGTCTCCTGTTCTGTAATAGTCTCCTCATCACTCTGAACTCAATCAAATCAAAATGTACTTTTCTGGCTGGCTAGGAAAAGTTCATTATTAACTTGATTCTAAATCAACCATTCACTTTAAAACAAAGCGTTATGGCTAATAAACCTAAGAAGAAAAAATGGAGTGATGAAAATAACAATCCAAAGAAAATAAAAAAGAACAAAGAATAGACAAGAGACAGAGAGAAAAAAAAATCAAATCTCAAGACATCACATTAAAACCTGACAATATCAAGAGTTTCATTAAATATAAAATTGGCCTAATTACCCAATGAAAAAGGCAGAGATTACACCAGTAAATTCAATAACTCAGTTGAAATATAGTCCTTAAAAAAACAGATTAGACTTTACCCATGTAGAAAAAGATACTTTATACAATTTTGCATCTATTAAATAAATACACAGTCACAATTTGTTACAGTTTAGATATCATTTGCATATACCCCCTAAGACTTTATATGTTGACATTTAGTCCCCAACATGAGGTATTAAGGGGGCAAAAACTTAACTTTCATTATGTTTGTTTAGATGTGGTCTTTCTTTGGGAGGTGATGAGGATTAGATAAAATCATTAGAATGGAGCCACCATGATAGAAACTTAGTGGCTTTACTAGAAGGAGAGAGATAATGCACACATGCATACATGCGCGCACACACACACACACACACACACACACACACACACACACACACAAACTGTCTCTTTCCATATGCTCCCCTGTATCACCTCTAGAGTCTGCCAGCAAGAATATAACTACAGCAGGAAGTAGTGGCACACACTTTTAACCTCAGCACTCACACTCCAGGGACAGAGGCAGAGGCAGGTGGATCTCTGTGAGATCAAGGCCAGCCTGGCATACATAAGTGAGTTCTAGGCTAGCTGGGGTTACAGGGAGACCCTGTCTCAAAAAAAAAAAAAAAAAAAAAATAATCATCATATGTTTCCCCCCACCCCTGGACATCTGAAAACATAAACTAAAATAAGCCTCTTTTTCTTAAGAAGCCTAGCTCACATTTTTAATAGAGTAACAACAACAACAACAACAAAGACTAATGTGCAAATACAGGTCCAAATACCTTCAATGGGAAATTCTATCAAACATTTCAGAAAAAAAAGTTTACATGACTCTTCTTAAAAATTAAAGATAAAAAACTGAAGAGAATATCTTTCCAATTCAATTTATGAATATACCAATACACCAAAACCATACACAGATTTTTAAAAAAGAAAAACCAGATCAACACTCTTCATTAATTAGATGCAAAAATTCTCAACATTTTAGAAAACTGCCAAAGTATATAAAAAGGATAATACATCATGACTAAATGGAATATATGTAGGAATTAAAGGATGGTTTAACAAGTAAACATCAAGCTGGGTGTGGCTGGTTGCTCATGGCTGTTATGCTACAACTTGGGAGGCTGAGGCAAAAAAAATTGAGAAATTTTGAGTTACATAGTAACGTCAAAGTCAGTCTTGGCTATATAGTGAGACACTGACTCAAGAAACAACAAGAAAATTAAAATCAATTAGTGTAATTCACCATATTATATCAGGTTAACTGAATGAAAAAGAAAAGCATATAGTCATCTCGAAAAAGTACCTGGCAAAATCTATATTCATTTCTCTTTTAATTTTTAAAATATTTTCTTTATTATTTCTATTTTATGTGTATGAGTGTTATGCCTGCATGTATGTAAGTGCACCTGTATCATGCAATGCCTATGGAGGTCAGAAAAGGGAAACAGATCCCCTGGAACTGGAGTTATAGATGGCTGTTAGCCACCATATAGGTTCTGAGAATCCAACTTGGGTCCTCTATAAAAGCAGCCAGTCCTCTTAACTGCTGAGCCATCTCTCCAGCCCCTCATTCATTCCTCAGTAAAAACAAACAAAAACAAACATCTGACATAAACTATTAAAATGACAGTGTGATCCTAAATTTCAAAAATGTATTTATTCCCTATGATCAAGAATGAGCTTTGAGCCAAGCAAGTTAATACATGCCTCAGTCACAGTTACTTGAGAGGCTGAGTCAGAAAGAATGCCTTAGCCCACCCAAGAGTTGGAGACTACCCTGGTCAGCATAACAAGACCCTGACTGGAAAATGTAACTAATTAATCAATCAAGATTTCATAATGTTAAATTTATCCACATCTTACTAGGTTGAAAGCATAAACTGAGCTCAACTGGATGAACTTCCAGTTGATCACTTGGTCAAAGACTAGGCTAAGAAATGAGGAAGGAACACATGCCAACAGACTCACCCATGTATATCATCTAAAGACACTGGAGGTCAGTGGCTCCCAAATTTGCTGAATATTTTCAACACCTGCAGAGTTTTTAGAACATCCTGATGCCCAGGTTATACAGCAGAAAACCCTAATCAGATGGGGGCAAGTAGAGCGCCAGGCGTCAGTCATAGACATATGACTTTATTTCACTTTCTAAAGTGAAATAGAGTTTGAGGGTGACGTTTTTAGGGCAAAGTTTGCTAATGCCACCATTATGAAATAAGTAACTTAATTTGGAGTCATTTTAGGTGGTTTTAAGTCTCTAACTGCCTCGACGGAGTCAATCACCATGCAAAGCTTCTTGGTAATAACAAACTGCAAAACACCATCTTTGTACACAGGCAGAAGACAGGAACCTAGAGTGCTGGAGGCACTAAAAATGCATGATTCAAAGAGAAAAGGGAAGGGATCGGATTCTATTTCCAAATTCCTACGCAGGTTACTCATGAAGCAATGATCAGACTAACCGAGAACTGCAGCTCGGTCACTGAAGTCATAGTTCAAAGAGCAGAAATGCACATATTTACACCAAGCACACTTGAGTGCTTCCATTTTGGAATACCAAAAACCACTCTCCATTTATAACTCTAGCTTGAATCAACAGAGAATTCAGAAATTTACAGACATCTCAAAATAGGATGTGGTTCTGGACTTAAAAGATGGGAAAACAGTACTTAGCCTACCTATTTCAGAGGACAACAGAAGCCTCTTAAAAGGGCAGGATTCAGCAGGTGGTTTGTTTGCCAATACGTTTTTCACAAGCTCTGTTTCACCTGGTACTTTGACCCATGTCTGCTACTAAATTTAAGATGACCATCCTAATTTGTTCTGATTTGCATGGGACAGATTTATATCAGCAAAAGGGAAAGGGACATTTGGGGGCAGTATTTTACAAGGAATTTATAAACCACTAGAGCACCTACACAGAGTTCAGTTACCTGACTGACCTTATGGCACATGTAGGATCCGCCTTTCTTTACTCGGTCTTTCCCAGAAGGGGGGCCTTTCTGTGAATGAAGGAGAACAATTATTTGTTAGTCCTCACACAGTGGAAGTGTCCATTTTGTCAGAAGCAGCCATTTTATGACTACCTAAACTGCCCACGTCCATCTCTACCTTGGATTACACCTGAATTTCATACCCTTCTAAATATGTCCCCCAAAGGCCCACCTACCTATCCTCTATGATCCACTCCATGTTCCCACTGTTGAATGAAGTCCTTGTGATGACAGAAAGCAGTCCTACCTCTATCTGCCTATCTTCTTGCCTAGGTGCCCAAGGAGCTGCTTGGTACCCTCTGCCTTCTCATCCTGGCATGTGAATTTACTTTGCAGTATCACAGGTTTACTCATACAGATGAAAAGCTTCTTTGAATTGCATGTTTTCTTTAGCCACTGTACATCACCCAATAAACCCTTGGCTGATTAAACAACTTGTTTTCTCTTTAAAGTTTTTGATCTGTATGCTAGATAGCTTTAGTTGTCAACATGACACACATGGGTAGAAGGAACCTCAATTCAGGAATTTCCTTCACTAGCCTGGTCTGTGGGCATGTCTGTGGGGTATTTTCTTGATTGTTGAGTGATGTGGGAGGGCCCAGTCCATTGGGTGGTGCCACTACTGGACAGGTTGTCCTGTGTTGTATGAGAAAGCAGGCTGAGCACCAGCCAGGGAAGCAAGCCAGTTAAACAGCATTCCTCCATGGCCTGTGCTTCAGTTCCTGCCTCCAGGTTCCTGCCCTAAGTTCCTACCTTGGGTTCCCTCAGTGATGAACTGTGACCCAGGAGATGTAAATCAAATAAACCCCTTCCTCCCCAAGTTGGTACTGGTAAGGGTGTTTTGTCACAGCAATTGAGAAGCTAACTAGAACAGTCAGGTTTATTGAAGTCCAATTTACATACATCAAAATTCACCCACTTTAATGCACAGTCCCAGTGAGTTTTGACAACTATATAGAGTCAAACAACTGTCAACATAACTCAGAAACAGAGCACTTTTTTTTCTTTTTTTTTTAATTATTTAATAACGACATTAGAAGCATTTCATTACAGCATTAACATATTCAATAACAATTTCCAGAGCAAAGATGCTTCTCTTTCAAAATTAGCTGTAAATTTTGAGGTTCACAGTTCACAGTT